TGTAGAAGAAAAATAGTAGATTCTGTTCTAAAGTGGAAGTTCAGAGAGGGCTTTTTGAAGATAAAGTAGTTGCTCGTATTATTTTGCGTGAGGATTCTTCTGAGGATTGGCAAGGGCCCAAATAGAGGATCAGGAACTGGCAATGTTTTACTTGCCAAGAAAATGATTTGCGACCTTCTTGGGAGGAAGTTTCTTCGAAAGGATTGTCAGCCAAGATTTATTGGCATCAATGGCATGCCTTGGAAGTCCAAAATGGGATTTTGCATAAGAGATGGGAAGCTCCTAATTTGAAAAACAGTTTTCTTCAGTTGATGGTCCCGCGAAGCAAAGTGAAGCAGATTTTAGAAGAAGCTCATGATACTCCTTCTGGAGGGCATTTCGGGATCAATAAAACGCTGGAAAAGATCCGGAAACGTTTTTTATTGGGCAACCTGTAAGAAGGATGTTGAGGAATGGTGCAGAACCTGTAAGATTTGTATTAGAGGAGTGCTGCAGATAAGGGGAAATCTCCTTTGCAGATCTTTAATTCGAGAGCTCCTTTTGAGAGGATTCAGATGGATATTTTAGGCCCGTTACCTGTTTCTTCTTTAGGCAATAAGTATCTCCTAATTGTTGTTGATTGTTTTACTAAATGGGTAGAGGCTTTTCCTTTGAAAAATATGAGAGCTACTACGGTAGCAGAAATTTTTGTTAATCAGGTTGTTTCTAGATATGGGGTCCCGTTGGAACTTTATATTGATCAGGGAAGGAGTTTTGAATCACAGCTCTTTCAAGAATTGATGAGAATTTTGGGAATTAGGAAAACGAGGACGACCGCTCTTCATCCTCAGTCTGATGGTCAAGTTGAAAGACAACATCAGACAATTTTACAGTATTTGTCAAAATTTGTTGAAGAGAATCAAAAGGATTGGGATCGTTGAATTCCCATGTTTCTTCTTGCCTATAGGACCTCTAAACATGAGGCTATAGGCGTAACTCCTTCAGAATTGTTTTGCGGAAGAGATCTTACCTTGCCGATGGATTTGCTAAGAGGTACTCCTCCCAGTTATGGTTTTTCTGAGTCAGCGGAGGAGTACGTTCGAAATTTGCGGCAGAAGCTGGATGAAATTCATCAGAGAGTAAGAGAGAGATTAGAATCAAGGTCTTTGAAGATCAAATGCCGCTATGATTGAAAGGCTAGACATCCCGTTTTTGAGGAAGGACAGAAGGTTTGGTTATTTAATCCTCATCGTAAGAAGGGTAGGTCTCCCAAACTACAGAACGATTGGGAGGGACCTTTTGAGATAATTAAGAAAATTAGTGATGTAGTTTTCTGTATTTCTCGTTCAGGTGGTCGGAAAAGCAAGGTTGTGCATGCCGACAGGTTAGCTCCGTATAGAGAAAGGGAAGAATTCTAAGAAGAAGTTTTCGGGGCCCAGTTTTCCAATTTCGACATTACTTTTATTTCTTGTTAATTGTTTTGAGTTACTGTGTTCTGTTTTATCTTTCTTTAAGCTTCCTTCCGTCGTGAGAAGCGTCGTGGGGAGATTCTCGAGCCTGAGCATCAAATAAGATCTTCAAGCTCGTGTTTCAAACTGAAAAGAAGTCTGCCTCGCCCCCGGTTTTCCGAGTCGTGGTTTTTCCGGGGGACGATGGGCGAATGCCGAGGCAGGGGCTTAGTTTGTCTTTTGGAAAGACGAAAGGGTCCACGACGATTATCCCCACTTTGCCCGAAAAATGGAAAAGAGAAGTGCGCAAAGCTCAAGACGAAGAGTCAAGAGTGAAACGTGCGAAAATTTCAAGAACAAGATTCTTCTGAAGAGTAGAGAAGACTGGGATTGGAAGTAGCGGCGCCCGGTAACCTGAGGCAGCAGCCTAGGGTAGGGCAGGAAGTCGCTAGGAGCCCAGAAGTCTTTTCCAAGAGGAAGTTCTTGAAAGAGGAAGAATTGTCGGGACGACAATTTTTTGAAGAGGGGGGCAGTGTTGCGGCCGTGCGGTATTCCGTTCGGCGCTGCTAAAAAATAATCAATATCAATCGATAAGAGTTTGAATAGAGGATCGGCCCTTGGCAACGCGTCGTTCTCCGACTGTTTTACAGATTTGACAGCCAGATTCCGCGGTGGCCGGACGCGTTTCTGTACCGTTAGTTTAATAAAGAGCGAGTTTTTCCTAAAACAGTGTTCTT